AAGACAAAATTTCATTTATTTGTAATTAGAAATAAATATTTCACAATATATAATTACATATTGTTTTTGTGATTAATCACTATGCTTTAATTATGGTCAATTTGTAACAATGAAAATACATCCTGCATATCAGATATTTACATTACGATTCATAACAGTAGCAAAATTACAGTTATAGAGTAGGAACGAAAAGAATTTTATGGTTGGAGGTCACCACAACATGAAGAACAGTATTAAGGGGTCGCGGCATTAGGAAGGTTGAGACCCACTGCTCTAAGGTCTTTGCCCATCAGTGCAGACGGTTTGGCCTCCTATTGAATAGCCCTGACTGAGGGACACTTAAGTTATGTCCATGGTTTGGTTTTGGTTTTTCCCTTACAGATAACACTAGAATGACGTGTCGTCTCGTCATATGGTCTAGGTGAGCCTTTGGGGACTACCCATGGGGTCATTCCTAGGAGAGGAATTGCTGAACCAAAGCGCAGGTTTTAAATCCTGATGGGTGTTGCCAGATGACCCACCGGAACGATTGCCCACCTCATATCCCCAACACCTGGCCTCTCTCCCCACTCCCTTGTTAATAACTAGAATCATCCAACTTTCAGTTTTCAACTGTCTGATAGTGAACACTGGCATTTTATTAGCCTTTGGATTTGCATTTAGTTATGAGTGAAGGTGAGCATGTCTCATATGCTTGCTGTTTATCCGCCTGTCTCTTTCTGTGGACTGTTCATATCCTTGGCTATTTTTCTGTTGAATTGTCTTTCACTTATCTGTTTGCGTGCACAGTTGAAGCCTTTTAATTGTAAAAAAAATTAGCATGATTAGATCTGAATTTTAGAAATATGCATGAGCACTGATGCTTAAACTCTTGGTGGTGAAGCTGACGTGAAATAGAAGTCAGAGTTTCTGCGCTGTCATGGGCTTCCTACCGAGAGGAATGTACAGACTCATTTGGGGAGCCAGAAGGCATTTTAATGTTTACTGTCTTGCTGCATTCTTTTCTCTTGCTTAGCATCAGATAATAATCCCTTTGTTGTGCCATCATGTATGAATTTGCAAAAGTTGGACTGGTACTGCTTAACCCATCCTTCCTTCGAGAGCTGTAGGGTGGAATTGGGTAGCTATTCGGGGCTTTTTACAAGACAAGGCTATGCCACCTCAAATCACGTATCCCTGATTTTAGAGTTTTGATTTTCCCTTTAAGTGAGATCGATGAAAAAGATTTTGCCTTTAGTTGAAAGTTGTTCTTAGTCTTTTTAAAAACTACTCTTCTGTTACTTTTAAGTGTAGTACTGCTAATAGAAAGCTCACATAAATGCAAGCTCAGTTTCCTTTTGCAGCATGTTGAAAAAGCTTGACGTTCATGTCATTGTGTGCTAACCACTGTACAGATTCAGCGTTGTAATTCCGATTTAACCCCATTTTCGGTGGGCTGCCTGTGGGGTCACTAGGGAAGTTTCTGTGGGAGGGTCAGGGATATTGGATCCAAGTTTGTCCTTTCATTGTAGCATGATGAAACATTTACTCCTGAATGACTCCCCAGACCCTGTAGAGATATTCTTTGCATTTCTTAGGCTGGAGAATTGGGAAAGGAGAAGGTTATGCTGATCTTGAATATGCCATGATGGTGTCGATGGGAGCGGTCGGACAGGGGACGCCAGTGGTTACCATCGTGCACGACTGCCAGGTGCTGTTTGTGGCTAAGCCCAACCACACTCCTCTAAGAGAGTTAGGGGAGGGAGGAAGGGATAGAGGGAGGGAGAGAGGGAGGGAAGGAGAGAGGTGGGGAGAGAAAGACACACACAGAGACACACTAGTCTCTCTGCTGTCAGTCCATGCCATGTCGTGAGTGGTGTTGTTTAGGGACGTGGTAGCTAAGCCTTATCCACACATCATACTTCCACTGAGTGGTGCAGTGGACACGACTGGAGCCATATTCCCCATCAGCTCCTTTACCCACTTCTGTTTGACCAGGTCGTCGACATACCGGAAGCGCTCCTTGAGGATCACGACCTCACGGTGGACTATATTCTCACTCCAACAAGAGTCATCACCACAGGGTGTGAGCGCCCAAAGCCAACAGGAATCATGTGGTCCAAGGTGGGTCACCACATGGCACTGAGGGGGGCCACAGCGTTCCGTGGGCAGCTCTGGGCTGTAGCTTGAAGGTATCTCCTCTTTTACTGTGTGCTCTGGCATGGCAGCTGTCCCCAGGCCTGGTGTGGCTGTACGCTAGAGTTGCCATGAGCTTTTGAACAATTCAGCTCCTGAATCACTATCTCCAGACATGGGCCTGCGAATCTACATTACACACCTGTGGGATTCTGATAAGCAGCAAGGTTCAAGGTCTCCTGCTACAAGATACCCAGCTATCGACGGCAGAAATGACCAAATCCGCTAGGAGGGCTCATGCCTTGAATCTGTTTGCCAATTGGTTTCTAACATTGTACCTAAGAAATACTATATGTAATTGGAAAGCTAATGGATGCTTCAAGGCATGAATGACATCTGTGGAAGGCGGCACATTTCCTGCGTGTCCTCTCCTCCTGAGCGTGCTGACTCTGTAGGGTTGTTTCACCTTGGGCATTCGGAGGGACCTCAAAGCATTTTCATAAATGAATAAGCTTTAGGCTCATGTAAGAGACCTAATTTTGGTGAAAGTTGTATTTCATAGCAGAAATACTTCTGGTGTTTCTGTTTATCTTTGCCAGCAGCTGCTCACACACACCCTAGCATTTTAGAATGAGAAGGATTTTCTTATCTCTGGTCAAGTAAAGTGAGAGCCAGAAAGAAAGCAACTTATCCAAAATTATAAAACCAATGTGTGGCCGAGGTAAGATTAGAGCCCGAATCTCTTCTTTTGGGGTTTGGCAACAGACGCCTTATAAGTCAGATTTCTGATTTGTATTGGACTTAGCATGTATTTCTAGTAGACAGGTTGTTAATTGACTCACTTAAAAGAATACATATTTATAAGTGAGTGACATCTGCGCGCTTCACTGAAGCGTGATTGTAGCATATAAAAGAAAATCAAATTTCCTTTATACTGTTTTTTTAGTTACAGAAGGGTGGAAATATTTTTTTTTATGTTTGATTAACAAGCAAAATCTTTTATTTCACATGGCAAGTTAACAAAATGTAACAACTGTTCCTCATTGTCAGCCAGGGAAAACAGAAGTGCTGCTGCGGACCTGTCCCAAGTGTGACGTCCAGCCCATCCATTTGGCTCACAGGGCCCTTTCTGTCAGCTATGGGACAGCAGTCAACCCGAGCCACTCCTCAGAGTCCGGGGGTGGCAAACAGCTGGCAAACGCCACCTCATAGTCGGGAGGTTTTTCCATTTGGAACTTGTGAGGGAGCATGGACGGTTGCACTGTTAGCTTTGCCATTCCGTACCCAGTAAACACATTGCTCTCGAAACAAGCAATTTTACAGAAAAGCCACGCATTGGTGCCTTTCCACATCTAAAGATCCCTTTGCATGTGCCAGTGCAGCCGTGCTGTAGACTTTTCAGTTAGTTTATAATGTGTGGTTAAAACATTTTCATTATTCTTCAGCTGATTACAGCTTAGACATGCGCCAGCCCTGTGATGTGTGCAGAAGGACGTATTTTTTGCTTCATATGACGTGTTCAAGTAGCTTTTCTCCTGCCTGAGTGTGGAGCCTTGCCCCGTGGGTCAGGCTTCCTGAGAACACTGACTTCTGCATGAGGAAGCTCTGTGGTTCCCCTGGGCAAAAGCGTATCGGAGTTCCAGCACTTCAGGGGTGGTCACCTGGCTGAGACAGCCCTGGAGCGGGCACCAGCAGAAGTATGGTATTTACCAGGCGCGAAGGCCAGCCAGTTCCCACTGCTGTTGCTTGGAGTGGAGTAACATTTAGTTCTTCCAAATAAGTACAGTGAAACTTTTTTTCTGATTGTCATTGCAGTTTTCAATTTGATCATCCTTTCTAAATACCAGATCTGGTCACTTAAGAAATCTTGCAGAATCGAATTACGACCAGTTGAAATCGGTGTTTCAGTATTCCGAAAAGAACACAAGAATCTAAACTCTTAAGAAGAAGGCAGAGCGGGGGCATGGGAAAGAGTTGGGTTGGCGGGACTTAGATCACCTTTGGGATTTTTGGGGGGACCCAGAACCTCTAGGGTCCTGGTCTGTGAGTTTAGTCACCTTTGGATGAATCCATTGAAAAGAATTACAAAGGAACAAGTAGGCGTTAAGTTCCCCTTGATTAGAAGAGTTGTCACATCTTGTGGATATCTCCATGGTGTAGACATGATTTTATTTTTTCTTTGCGTCTGAACAATGAGCAAACATTAGGAGGAGCAAGTGTCTCTTTGTACAGTCTTTCTATGGCACCTGAGAATCTATGTGCCATTTGAACACCAAAGTGGACGAGTGCCACCTGCAGAGGCCCCTGACAGCCATGCCAGGAAGCAAGGACAGTGTCCGGTAGGAGAGGGCTCTGACCCAGAGAAAGGCTTTGCTGAGGTGGAGAGTACTGTGTACTTAGCACTGGGAGAGAGAACCAAGTATTAAATGAATGAGGATTAAGAGGCTTTAGGTTTGTGAGAAGTCACTTGACTGTTCTTAGGTGTTTGTGTTTCTTTAAATCTTACTCTGATTCATTGATTTTTAACCTGGGGCCTGTGCGCTTCTTGTGGTTTGGAAGTCCATGAATAGACATTGGGAAATTGTACGCAGAATTGTGGGGGAGTCCTAGGGAGGGAACCCCTGCTCCTCTAGAAAGGTCCCTGACACCCTGCCAAGGATAAGAACCATGCTCTAAGTTACATATGATTCTGAATACAACGAGAACATTGATGCTAGTCAAACTTTATTTTTGTGGAAAAAGTGTACCTGTCTACCTGGTGTGCTGACCTGTCCTCACGTTCCCACGTCTGTGGGCAGCCCTGTGTCTGGACCATTGCTTGCCTGTTTGTAACTGTGATCATTCACAAGCTTCATGCGCAAAAGGAAGACAGAAGGCATGGCTAAAGAATGAGGATTGTCAAAAAGGACTAAGGAGTGTTTTTCTGTTCCTTTTCTGCCTCCTGAGTCTTCTGACCATAGGAGACCAGTTCTACCCTGGGCTCAGCTGTCCAGGCTCAGCTTGGCCCTACAGGCATCCCCAGTGCCACTGCCAGCGGTCCACACTGCAGGCTGGATCAAGCCAATTCCAGCCTGTTCATGTGGGCTCCGCGGTTCAGCCTCATCTGGGGCTCCTATCACCTCCTTTGTTGCAAGTTCAGGAAGTATCTGTTGCTTGGTTAGGCCAAAAAGCCAAAGATGTCCTTTGTATAGAAGTCCTGTTCATTGAGACCTTCACATTTTGTGTCGTATTTGTTATTTTAGACTCATTGCTAGAACTGTGTTCAACGGTGGTGTTCCTGCCTTATTTTTGCGTTTTCAGTGGCACCTTGAAAGGGTTGGTTTCTGAGCAATGTTCCTTCGGTGGAGGGGTGAAGAGGAGGAAGAGGGGATCCCTGTGGCTTATTAAAGACCTCATCCCACCTAAAGGCATAGGCTGGGGGGAGGGGACAGGTGTGGAGGCAGGAACCCCCCGTTATCCGGGGGATCCAACAGGGGGATGCCATTTGTGACACTGCAAACCTCATACTAATGACCTTAGCTGCTACTCTGTGTAGGAGGCCTCTGGTTTTCTACTCTCTGGACCTCTAGGAAAGTAGAGAAAGCTGTCCGTTCTTGCCAGCTGCCATGGCATGTTGGCAAGGGGTTTCAAAGCTACTGAGTAAGACAGTTGGGGACCCATATCACAGAGGGCCAGGTGGGACCATTCGCATCTAACCCATTGGTGCACATGGCACATAGAGACTGCTGCTGAGACTTTGTGTGGCCAAGGCCCCTGTGGGACTTTGATTTCTCCTCCTTCATGACCAAGTGGTGGTCCCTTTTGGGCACCCAGAGAATAGCTGGAATTGCTTTCCTTTTTCAGATCAGCAATGAGATGATGGGGAAAATCCCAATACTCAGAAGCCTTCGCTACCAAGAGCAGCAGGCTGGGAAAGATGTCACCCTTCAGGATGAACACCGGCGCCTTCAGGACACCCGCAGCCAGCAGCCAGCTCCCCCGAGCACTGTCAGAAGACCCCGGGACCCATCCCAGCTGGAGTCAGGTTCCGTGCAAGGGGACCATGGACCTCCTAACACTGTTTACGTTGGGAACCTCCCCTGGGATACCCGAGTGAGTGAGCTGAAGAGAGCCCTCAGAGAGCTCGGTGCAGCCCCGCTGCGGCTCACCTGGCAAGGCCCACAGCACAGGGCCTTCCTCCATTACCAGGACCTGGCCTCAGCCCAGCAGGCCGTCTCCTGCTTGCAGGGCTTGCGCCTGGGCACCAACACCTTGAAGGTGGCACTGGCCAGGCAGCAGAGGGCCAGTGACCCGCCAGGCAGCCGTGCTGGAGAGCCGCACCCTGACCCTGACCCGACCATCTGACCTGTGACGATGTCCCGCTCCGGTCCCCTGCATAGTAGGACGTGACAAAGCTGCTGCTGCGTGAGCTGCTTTGATGAAGTTCAGTCCTTTTTAGGAAGTCACAGCCTTCAGTTACTGCCCGGGGCTCTCTTGATGAGTAGGGACTATTAGTCACGCGCTTCCTACGATTAGGAGGCTGGAACTCAGTGTATTCAGGTCTGGTTTGTGGCGGTCCTTCAGCCTGTCGGATGTTTTAGCTGTGCTGGTTTCTCTGTAGAGACAGCAGCTGAGAGGATTTAGGAGACTAAGTGAGTGACAAACAAGTGGAAGTAAGTGACGACAGTGTTTTAAGAAAGTTTGAGTCTGGATTTGAGGGGAGGAGGAGGTTGAGAGACGGTGGACAGAGGTTTTTGCCGGGTGAGGCCCTGGCAGGCAGGGAGGGACCAAATGCAGAAGCATAGCAGGGCTAACCAGGAAAGGCCCTTGTGCCGCAGGACCCTTTGGCCTGGCACTAAGGGGGAAAGCTGTATTCAAATCGCAGAAGTCAAGTAGTTCAGCCTCCCGGGTACAGCCCGCTTGTCTCAACTCAGTCCTGGTGTCAGAGATGGAGAGCTGACCCGACACAGAACTTTGGTTCAGTGGTGTCACCCGTCCCCTCCTTGCCTTCCTAACCTTACTCCTTCCTCTGGGTGAACACCCCTTTGCCCTCCACTCCTGGCCAGCCACCCCTGCACATAGCAGGAAGCGCTGTCTCCTAGGAGATACTGGCTTCGGAAAGTGAGTCATCCAGGCCCACATCACAGACAAAGTCCTGCAAACACTCACACACTCACATTTGCCCAGTGCCTTATGTTTTCCAGGTTTTTCTCCTCCACTTCCTTGTTCCTAAAAAACAAGCTGGATTTTGGCTGAACTGTGCTTTCTGAACAGAAGCGCTTTTGCAACTGATCCTGGGCAAAAAGTCAAAATAAGCATTTAAGTGGAGATTTTATTTTTTTCAAATGTACATGCGTTGGAAATTTTGTTTTTTCACCAGAGGGTCTTAACTGGGTGTATTTTAAGCACATTACTATGCCTCAAGAGGGCAGGCCTTGCACAGACTTTCAAAAAATGTTCTCAAGGCGCTCTGTTTCTCTTTGAAAAAGCATTTTCTCATTGGTTTTACAGTGAAAATACTGAGGAAACTTTGGAAAGAAAAATCTATCCTAAACCTTAAACAAACACATCTATCTCCAGCAAAATGGGTTTATTTGGGAACAACAAAGAATTGTAATTCAGGACATGCGGTCTAATGGTGAACTACGTGAAAGTCCTGAGAAACAAAGGAGAGGAATTGCTCTTTTATGGACTGGGGAGAGGCTGTTGTAAACAAAGAGTCCATTGGAGGAAACTGAGAGTTCAAAGTGTAGTGACTTTTCATTGGCCAAGTTATGGTGGTCCCCCATTGGCTGAGCTGTTACTGGGCCAGGAGGAATCTCTTCTTCTCCTGCTGAGGCAGTAAAGTAGAATCACGCCCTGTGGAAGATGGAGGGTATAAGTAACTCATGCATGAGAGTTCTCTCTTCTAGCCTCCCGACTCCACTTTCAATGAGATTTCTGTTTAATTTTCACATTTAGATTTGCTTATTAAATGCAGACCTCTTTTCCAAGTTGTCATGAATACAATGGGGTGGAGAAATATCTTAAAACAGACCAGGACTTTGTCTTGGGACCTCAGGGCTGCTTCTTTCTTGGCCTGACTGTCCACCCTGGTCTGCACATTGGTTTCGTTTTGCCACTGGGCGTTCAGCAGGGATGCGGAGGCAGACTCTGACCACCCAATCCATTGTAGCAACCTGATCATCTTAGCCCCTCCCTCTTTTTTTGTTGTTGTTCTTTTTTTTCCAAAATACCTCCTTTATGTGGCATATTCTTGTCTAGTTTTTGTTGACTTTTGAATTGTTGATTTGCCATGGTTAAAATAGTGCTCCAGGAGAACAGGAGAGGAATCTGTGCCTATCTTTTTTACTCCCCGCTGTGCCCCAGCTGTGAGAACAACAACCCCTGGCCAATACGTAGCAACCCAGGAAATACGTAATATGTGAACGCACCCATCAGTGCCAAGAGAGGGAAGAACTAGGTCCTGATCATCCCACCCGAAGCCCTGTCCAGCTGTGCCCGACACCAGCCTGCTTTAGACTGTTGAGTTACACCCATCAATAATGACCCCTCTGGTTAAGCCAGGTCACTTGGGTTTTCTGTCATTTGCAGCCAGAATAATCCAGATATATTGTTATACAGATCATCTGAATGAGTTTGTCATTTTTATATCTGTGGGAAATAGATTCATATAAAGAAAACGAAAGACCACCTGCCTGAAATACCAGTACCCGCAGTGTAACAGCCTACCCCCGCCTGTTATTCCTCCATCCTGCCTCGGGCAGGCCTGGGAAATCCTTTCTCAGGGCTGCCAGGAAGAGCGCTCAGATGATAAGGCAAGTGCTCAGTGACCCAGCTTTTTGTTCCCAAGACTCTTGAGTACTTGTCAGGATCGTAATTGCATAATTCACATAATGATAATCAAGGGAAACAATGGAAAATGACCACTTGACAAGGTGCTGCGAATATACAGACGCCTTTTAAGTGGAGCTGTTGTGGTGTGTGGGTCCCATCCTGTAGTTTCCTAAATGGTGGCGTGCTTTGCCCGCAGATTTGGCTCGTGCCACATCTGCAGCTACACGGTTTCCAGAAACTCATACAACGAGTGCTGGACGCTGGGAGCCCAGAAACCCGGACTCCACTGTGGCCTCTGCTTACCTTTCCTGTGCTGCGGGCAAGTCCTGTAGCCTGTCCAGGTTTTAACTTCCTCAACTTCAGAGCAAAAGGGTCAGACTCGTTCATTTCTAAGCCCTGATCGTTTCTGCCACTCTATGTTCCTTTTGGGGTTCCCGGTCACCATCCCTTAGATTTCTTTTTTCTGTTTATAAAAGTAAACAGCCATTCTGGAAGTACTGGAATAACGTAAGTGTAAAAGGGTGTCACCCATCACTCCACCACTTAAGCAGCCTTGACATCACCCTTTATTTATTTCCACTCTTTTGTGCAGTTTTAAAACACAGCTAGGATTAGCAGCATGAGCTTCCGAATCAAACAGATTTGGTAGGCGCATCAGTTCTGCCTGTGTGTGACACGGTGTGCCACAGCAGTCCCTTGTCTCTGAACTTCCGTGTGCTCGTCTATACATAGGCACAGTGATAATACACCCTCCCCCGAGACTTGTGAGGTTGGATGAAATAATGCTTCAGAATTGTGCGATTTGCACCTAGCAAGTGCTCAGGATCGTGTGCTGTCTGTGGAGGGCACTGTGGCCCAGCGATGCCATTGACCCTCAGATGGGGAAGATCAGCTCTGACTAGGGCAGAACTCAGGACTGACCCAGAGGTTCTGTCACGCCCTTGCATTGAGAGCAAGGGTCTGAGGCAGCATCAGCAGCAGGCCCCAGGCCTCAGGGGTATCAGCAGTGGTGGTGATGGCCCTGGAGCCGTTTCCCAGGTGACAGAGTTGTCACGGATGCTGAGACCTGAGCAGGGGTGACCACAGCACAGAGCTTGCTGGAGAGCACATTTATGAGTGTAAGAAGCAGCCATTTCTGCTCCAGAGGGGACTCCCTGGCTATGGGCTTCACCTGAGACAGAATAAGGCACAGATTACCTATGTTCCCCTACCTGGTGAGCCATGGCCAGCTCTTCCCAGCCCTCAGATGACTCGATCATTGAACTGAAAACAGTCCCTCCCTTTGAGATCTGGGAAAGTCTATGACAGCACACAAGTGAAAAAACGGCACCTAAGGAGAACCCACTTAGCCAGTTTCTAGGAAATATACAATCTGAATACATTTGAATAAATAGAAAACAGATCAACATGGGGCCTTTCAAAAACTATCTCAAAGTAAAAGGATCTGGCACCTGAGATGTGAAGGCAGAGCATTCATGACAAAGATTTACTCCAGGAAACAAGTAAATTTCAGGCAACATCTGCTCTGTACTCCTGAAAAATTTGAGAAAACAGTTTTCATTTTCCTATGAAACTTTTGTGTCCATTTTTTACCTTTTCTGCTCTGATCTTGAAGTACACAGGAAATCCTGAGCTCTAAAATTAAAAGCCCTGGGCCAGCCAAGTGGCTCAATTGGTTAAGAGCATGAGCTCTGAGCAACAGGTCACTGGTTCGATTCCCACATGGGCCAGTGAGCTGTGCCTGAGCTGAGCTGCTGCTAAGCTGCCAACAGGTGGCAGGATGGCTCAGCTGGTGAGAGCACGAACAAGAAGGTAGCCGGTTTAACTCCCGCATGGAATGGTGGGCTACACCCACCTGCAACTAAGATTGAACACAGCACCTTGAACTGAGTGGCCGGATGGCAACTGGACTTGGAGCTGAGCTAGCTGCGCCCTCCACAACTAAGATTGAAGGACAACAACTTGGCTGTTCCCCTTCCCCAATTCCCCAATGAAATCTTTTTTAAAAAATTAATAAATTAAATGGAAAGTCCTGTGGGGTAGGTCAGTATACTCAAAAGAGAGCTTGCTGAAAGTAGGCAGAAATGAAGAGTTGAGCAGGATGGGTAAAGATATTTTTTAAATAAATACATGTGTAATTATAATATTGACATTTATATTAGAAGATGTGGTGTGCAGGCGAGAGAAGAAAGTCAGCAAGAAGTGAGAGAACTGAAGAAGAGACAGTTAGTTATGAGCTGTAGCCCATACATGGAAAGAAAGGAGGCCCACTACAACACTGAAAGACATGGAAGGCCTCCCCTCAGCTGCAGAATGCAATGTTACAGGGCAGACTTCTATAACCAAGATATATATCTATATCTATATCTATTTATCTATCTATCTATCTCTCTATATATATGGTCTGACAATTAAGTTAGCAAACTTATTGCAACAATGTTGCTAACCTTTTTTGATATCAGAGGGATTATTCATTATGAATTTGAACCAACTGGACAAACAGTTAACCAAGTTTACTATTTGGAAGTACTGAAAAGGCTGCGTGAAAAAGTTAGACGACCTGAACTTTTCACCAACAATTCATGGTTCTTGCATCACGACAATGCACCAGTTCACACGGCACTGTCTGTCAGTGAGTTTTGAGCCAATAAAATAACTATAACTATACTGGAACACTCTCCATATTCATCTGATCTGCCCACCCCCCCATCCCCCCAATGACCTCTTTCTTTACCCAAAGATAAAGGAAATATTGAAAGGAAGACATTTTGATGACATTCAGGACATCAAGAGAAATACGATGACGGCTCTGATGGCCATTCCAGAAAGAGCTCCAAAATTGCTTTCAAGGGTGGACTAGGTGCTAGCGTTAGTGCATAGCTTCCCAAGGGGAGCACTTCATAGGTGACCACAGTGATATTCAGCAATGAGGTATGTAGCATTTTTTCTAGGATGAATTTGTGAACTTAATCGTTCGACCTCGTATAAAATCCCATAACAGGATTCCTGCCTGGAGAAAGGAATTATACCAGCACCGGGGGACCTGGGCCCTCACCTACAACTATGAGCAGATGATAAAGAATCACTTGAGGAAAATCAGCATTTTGAAACTACCTAATGCCTGTGGAGATGTCAGTACAGGAATCAGATGGTGACTAGAAAGCCATCATATCCATTAAAAAGCTAATAAATTGGTAAAGAAAAAAAGCAATTCTTAGAAATTAAAAACACCATGAAATAACCTTAGTAGTCACAGTGAAAGCAGGATAGACACAGATACAATTAGTTGGAAGATTAAGTCACATGATTCTTCCTGAAACCAATGCAAAAGAGCTAGAGATGAAAAGTATAAAACAGTGGAGGAAATAATCAAATTAACACTTACATCAGCTAAAGAAAGATTTGACTTCATGTTGAAAAATCCCCAAAATCCAAAACAAGGGACGCATACACAGCAGTGACCTTCCCAGTGTCACTTCCCAGCAATTCATTGAAAACTTTGTTTTTAATGCAATAACAACAAAAGCTGTTAAGTACTTAGGAACATGCCTAGTGAGCAGTCCAGAGCTTGTATGGATAAAATTATAAAACTTTCCTGAAAAAGAGGAAAGATCTGAATAAAGAGACATGCTGTGTTCTAGATGGAAAGGTTCAATATTACAAAGCTATTGTTTCTCCCCATGTTAAGACATTCTGTATATGACAATCAAAATCTCAACTGGAT